TTTTAGCTACTAATGGAATTACTCCTGAATATAATATTAAGTGAAATAGCAAAAATAACATGTAAAAATATACCATTGTGATAATAACAAGTAGAAACAGTCTACTTAAAATGAACAAAAGGGCGTAACACCTTGAAAACAGTTCGTCAGGGCTCGGTTTCACTGGATCCCTTCAAAAAACGTTACTTTGCTCACACTATAACAGCTCGTCAGGTCCCCAAAAAACATTTTCATTCACTCACTACTATCTACCACGCTCATACATGCCTGATGAGTGTACAAACCTTTCGCACACAAAATTTCCTTCACCCCCTTCCCCCCATCCTTTGTTAGGACGACCCCTACCCATGGTGTATAAATTTAATGATTTATACACCCTCCAAATCATCCTATTTTGCTCCACCCTCTCTAAATGACCAAACCACCTCAACAACCCATCTGGATAATACTTCTGGATAATACTTTCAGTAGCTCCGCACCTCATTTAAATCTTCAAACAACGAATTCTCTGCATAATATTTACGCCACACATTGCCCTCAGGCACATCTCCAGTCTTCTCCTCCTCCTCCTCGCTGGAGCATTTACAAGTCAAGCTTCACAACTATGTAAGATTGTTGGTACCCCTATACTCTCATACATTTCCTTATTTACCTCCATGGATAATGTCCTTTGTCACTACACATTCCTCATTTCATCGTCTACATTTTTTCCTTCATCATTTCTAGGGTTTACCTCGTCTTTCACAGACCCATATACTGACAAGTCCACTCCCAAATATCTGATCACTTTACTTTCTCCATATTCCCTCCAATCTGATATCTAATTTTTCGCTACCTAGCCCATTTGTTGCCCTCATCACCTTGCTCGTATGTTCACTTTCAGTTTCCTTCCTTTACACACCCTCCGAAATTCGTCCACAAACCTTTGCAACTTTTCTTCAGAAACTGTGTGTCATCAGCAAAAAGTAACTGTGACAACTCCCATTTTGTATTAGATTCCACATATTTTAATCCCACCCCTTTCCCCAACACCCCAGCATTCACTTCTATTACAACAGCAGCTATAAATATGTTAAACAACCATGGTGACATCACGCATCCCTGTCTAAGACCTACTTTTACTGGGAAGTAATCTCCCTCTCTCACACACCCTAACCTGAGCTTCACTATCCTCATAAAAACTCCTGACAGCATTCAGTTACCTACTACCTATTCCATACACTAACAACATCTGCCACATTGCTCCCCTATCCACCCTATCATATACCTTTCCTAAATCCATAAAAGAAACGAAAACTTCCTTATCTTTATCGGAATATTACTCAGTATATAAATATATATACATATGTCGTGCCCAATAGGTAAAACTTGCGATTTTGGCTTAAAAAGCAACGCTCTTCTTTTTGAATAAGGCAAGTGAAAATCTGTGTCTGCAATAATTTCGTAAAAATCATTCTGAACCTAACGAAAAAAAATATATTTCATTGTGTTTGTTTATTAAATTTTTGTAAACTTATCTAAAATAGATTTAGTTGGATTAAGCTAAATTAAGTTGCGCTTGTTATAATAAGGTTAGGTAAGTTTTCTAAGGTTCCTTTGTGTGTGTGTGTGTGTGTGTGTGTGTGTTTGTACTGTGTACAAATTGTTAAGACATTTTACTTTAACAGTAAAAACACATAAATGTCTAAGTATCTGAGAGTAAGAGCAGTGTGCTTTGAACTCCTAAAAAACTGACAGTGAACCCAAAACAATGAACCATTCTGAAGTAACTTGACATTACATATTTCACTTCCTGGACATACACTGTTGCAGTGATAAAAGAACTAAGGTTCACCCAAGTTGTGGCTAAACTTTACAGTGAAAATCAATGTGCAACCACATTACGACCTGCACACAGGTCAGTCATAGTGGATCATATTACGACCTGCACACAGGTCAGTCATAGTGGATCATATTACGACCTGCACACAGGTCAGTCATAGTGGATCATATTACGACCTGCACACAGGTCAGTCATAGTGGATCATATTACGACCTGCACACAGGTCAGTCATAGTGAATCATATTACGACCTACACACAGGTCAGTCATAGTGGATCATATTACGACCTGCACACAGGTCAGTCATAGTGGATCATATTACGACCTGCACACAGGTCAGTCATAGTGGATCATATTACGACCTGCACACAGGTCAGTCATAGTGGATCATATTACGACCTGCACACAGGTCAGTCATAGTGGATCATATTACGACCTACACACAGGTCAGTCATAGTGGATCATATTACGACCTGCACACAGGTCATAGTGAATCATATTACGACCTGTATACAGGTCAGTCATTGTGAATCGTATTACGACCTACACACAGGTCAGTCATAGTGGATCATATTACGACCTACACACAGGTCAGTCATTGTGAATCATATTACGACCTGCACACAGGTCAGTCATAGTGGATCATATTACAACCTGCACACAGGTCAGTCATAGTGGATCATATTACGACCTACACACAGGTCAGTCATAGTGGATCATATTACGACCTGCACACAGGTCAGTCATAGTGAATCATATTGCGACCTACACACAGGTCAGTCATAGTGGATCATATTACGACCTGCACACAGGTCATAGTGAATCATATTACGACCTGCACACAGGTCAGTCATAGTGGATCATATTACGACCTGCACACAGGTCAGTCATTGTGAATCATATTACGACCTACACACAGGTCAGTCATAGTGGATCATATTACGACCTGCACACAGGTCAGTCATAGTGAATCATATTGCGACCTACACAAAGGTCAGTCATAGTGGATCATATTACGACCTGCACACAGGTCATAGTGAATCATATTACGACCTGTATACAGGTCAGTCATTGTGAATCATATTACGACCTACACACAGGTCAGTCATAGTGGATCATATTACGACCTGCACACAGGTCAGTCATTGTGAATCATATTACGACCTACACACAGGTCAGTCATAGTGGATCATATTACGACCTGCACACCGGTCAGTCATTGTGAATCATATTACGACCTGTATACAGGTCAGTCATTGTGAAACATATTACAACCTGCACACAGGTCAGTCATTGTGAATCATATTACGACCTGTATACAGGTCAGTCATTGTGAACCATATTACAACCTGCACACAGGTCAGTCATTGTGAACCATATTACGACCTACACACAGGTCAGTCATTGTGAACCATATTACAACCTACACACAGGTCAGTCATTGTGAATCATATTACGACCTGCACACAGGTCAGTTATTGTGAATCATATTACGACCTGCACACAGGTCAGTCATTGTGAATCATATTACGACCTACACACAGGTCAGTTATTGTGAATCATATTACGACCTGCACACAGGTCAGTCATTGTGAATCATATTACGACCTGTTTACAGGTATGTCATTGTGAATCATATTACGACCTGCTTACAGGTATGTCATTGTGAATCATATTACGACCTGCTTATAGGTATGTCATTGTGAATCATATTACGACCTGCTTACAGGTATCACTATGAATCATATTGTGGAATTCCAGGTAATGACAGGAGTATAAATTCATACTCTCTCTCTCTCCCCCCCAACTCCCCCGTCCCATAATAACGTGGAGGTGCGTGATGTTATGATGGCTCAGTGTGTGCCAGAAGTGACCAGCACCAGGTCTCCCAGGTCAGTGTGTGCTAGAAGTAATCAGCACCAAGTCTCCCAGGTCAGTGTGTGTTAGAAGTGATCAGCACCAGGTCTCCCAGGTCACTGTGTTAGAAGTGACCAGCACCAGGTCTCCCAGGTGTTAGAAGTGACCAGCACCGGGTCTCCCAGGTCAGTGTTTGATAGAACTGACCAGCACCGGGTCTCCCAGGTCAGTGTGTGCTACAAGTGACCAGCACCAGGTCTCCCAGGTGAATGTGTGTTAGAAGCGACCAGCACCAGGTCTCCCAGGTGTGTTAGAAGCGACCAGCACCAGGTCTCCCAGGTGTGTGTTAGAAGCGACCAGCACCAGGTCTCCCAGGTGTGTGTTAGAAGTGACCAGCACCAGGTCTCCCAGGTGAATGTGTGTTAGAAGCGACCAGCACCAGGTCTCCCAGGTGTGTGTTAGAAGCGACCAGCACCAGGTCTCCCAGGTGTGTGTTAGAAGCGACCAGCACCAGGTCTCCCAGGTCAGTGTGTGTTAGAAGTGACCACCACCAGGTCACCCAGGTCAGTGTGTTAGAAGCGACCAGCACCAGGTCTCCCAGGTCAGTGCGTGTTAGAAGTGACCAGCACCAGGTCTCCCAGTTCGGTGTGTGACAGGAGTGACCAGCACCAGGTCTCCCAGGTCAGTGTGTTAGAAGCGACCAGCACCAGGTCTCCCATGTCAGTGTGTGACAGAAGCGACCAGCACCAGGTCTCCCAGGTCAGTGTGTGACAGAAGCGCCCAGCACCAGGTCTCCCAGGTCAGTGTGTGACAGAAGTGACCAGCACCAGGTCTCCCAGGTCAGTGTGTGACAGAAGTGACCAGCACCAGGTCTCCCAGGTCAGTGTGTGGCAGAAATGACCAGCACCAGATCTCCCAGGTCAGTGTGTGACAGAAGTGACCAACACCAGGTCAGTGTGTGACAGAAGTGACCAGTACTAGATCTCCCAGGTCAGTGTGTGACAGAAGTGACCAACACCAGGTCTCCCAGGTCAGTGTGTGACAGAAGCGACCAGCACCAGGTCTCCCAGGTCAGTGTGTGACAGAAGTGACCAACACCAGGTCTCCCAGGTCAGTGTGTGACAGAAGTGACTAGCACCAGGTTTCCCAGGTCAGTGTGTGACAGAAGTGACCAGTACCAGGTCTCCCAGGTCAGTGTGTGACAGAAGTGACCAGCACCAGGTCTCCCAGGTCAGTGTGTGACAGAAGTGACCAGTACCAGATCTCCCAGGTCAGTGTGTGACAGAAGTGACCAGCACCAGGTCTCCCAGGTCAGTGTGTGACAGAAGTGACCAGCACCAGGTCTCCCAGGTCAGTGTGTGACTATAACGAGGTTATTTGGTAGGTGCTGCAAGCGGGTGGTTAATGATAAACTTCGGAGGCTTCTTACTTTATTGTTAATGTCGTAGTGGGTACACAGGCTTGTGTGTTTGTGCCCATGGCCGGGGCAGGGCCATCCCACGAGAGAGAGCTGGGAGGCCTTGTATCTTGCTGCTAGGCCGCTGTGTGAGTGAGGGTGAGGCAAGTCTGGGCATACTGAAGTGGTAAGGCCTCTAGGTGGCAGCACCAGCATGGCGCGAAATATGAACTAAACTGGCAGACAGCAGGGGCTGTCTGCGCAGACAGTACAGGCTGTCTACATACGCTCGGCCACCTACCGCGCGTCGTCCCGACGCGACAATACTGGTAGTAAAAGAAACTCGGTCTCTCTCTCGTAGGAACAGGGCACAGAACACAAAATAACAACATATATATACATATGAACATGGAAAAAAACACTTCCTACAGGGAGGGAAGAAAAAAACATGTGGGGTGTGCTAAACATCGTGGTCATAGGCAATGAGCGTCGAAGGGCATCACTGCACGCCTTCCTGCATCTGGACAGATACTGCAACACAGGAGACATCGCTGCGGCTGAGCTGTGACGTAACAGGTTACGGTCTCCTCTGGAACGGTGAAGCAGACATCGTAGGAGTCGCTGCAGGTTTTCACTCAACCTGGGGCACGACATGCTGGTGCCCTCGAGTGAGGCGTCGACAAAACTCGGCAACTGGGCAGGACTTCTGGCAAGCGACTCAGGAGGACACTTCTCGACTGGTACTGTCGCTGGACTGTCACTGCCGGCGAGCGTGGAGCGAGTTGTAGCAGAGACGACTGGGCGAAACATCTGGGAGTCGTAACATCATACACCAAACTGCAGTGAGAGAGCTAGCAGTCAAAGTGACATCATCTTTGTGCAGGCTGCTCACTGAAGCTTGTGACACGAGGCTGACACAGCGCCTGCCGACAGGCCTAACTGCGGCTTGGCGAGTATCATCTCTCGACAGTTGGAGTTATAGCAGAGGTTAGCCTAAGCGTCCCCAGACTTGTTTCTCTACATATAACTGCACTCTGACGGTCTGGAGGTGAAGTGAAACAAATCTCGATGGGAATCGTAGCAGGTACGATTCTGCAGAACAACACGAGGGATGAGCATAAAAGCTTTCTGTACAAGGGGGCTCGGTCAGTCGGAGCTGTCTTGACATCAGCTGTCAAACGTACTGGTCACACGGGTGACTTAGCACAGTGGTGCTACTCAGGTCTGGCTCAGACCTCACTGGACACACGGAAACTTTACACACCCGCGGTACACTAACATGTGAGAACACTGAGAGGAATTAATTAACACGACATATATCTTCTCTCGATCTTCTCGACAATACTGAAATAATTACTGAACACTCGATGGTGACATCATGTGATGTCAGGCGTGATGACGTCAGCAGACATCTCGAGGTGACGTCAGCAGACATCGTGACGTCATGAAGTCGGGCAGCATCGTGGGTGACGTCAATGTGACGCGGGCAGCAGACCACAGCATGAGGCCTGGGACATCTGGTAACTCACGTGGCTGGTAGATCCACGTGACATCGCCACACCCACGTGGCATTGTGATCCACGTGGTGTCGTGATCTACGTGGCATGCTGGTCCACGTAGCTTCGAGTGGCCTCGGGCACTCGGATACACAGCTCTGGCAATGAATTCACATGGAAAACAGCAGAAAACACAGCAGAGGGAGTGGGCAGTGGTGAGTGGTGTATGGTAGACGGGTGAGCGTGAGTAGGGCAAGCATGGGCAAGGTGAGGAACAGCCACTTCCTCTCCTCTCCTCCCCCACCCACAAATACGTAGAGAGCTCACACTGGACGCAGAAATCACCACAAAACTCACCTCTGGCTTGCTGAAACGGCTGTGCTGAGCTGAACAACAACAGCAACATACAAGTGACGCTGAACACGTGACTTGAGAAACAGCGTGGGACACTGTAGTGTGGAGTCACTGGGACGCCACTCACAATTCTCGAAGAAATTCGGCAAATTTCGACTAGATCCTGCTTGTACCTGTGTCTGGGTACTCAAACGTGCAGACACGACATCAGGATAACTTGTTGAGAGATGGATGCTTCTTGTGTAGGGTGATGAAGTGAAGATGACTTCATCCCTCTTCCTTCCTCGCTTTGGGCAAACACACTGCTGCGACCACTGCTGGTACCAATTATAACGAGGTTATTTGGTATTCTTTTAGCGGGGAGTTAATGATACGTCTTCGGAGGCTTCTTCGTTTATTCTTAAGTAGTGGTGGGTACACAGGCTTGTGTTGTGCCCATGGCCCGGGAGGGCCATGCCCACGAGAGAGCTGGGAGTACTTGTGTCTTCCTGCTAGGCCGCTGTGAGAGAGAGTGAGGCAGGTCTGGGCATACTGAAGTGGCAAGGCCTCTAGGTGGCAGCACCAGCATGGCGCGAAATATGAACTAAGCTGGCAGACAGCAGAGGCTGTCTGCGCAGACAGGTGTTCCCTGTGATCGTATTTGCTTGAACCTCCTCTTTTTTGCAATATCACAAGCTTCTGTTGTGCTCACTGCAACACAAAAGGCCTAGAGGTATGATTCAACTCCACCCCCCCCATGGTTGTTTTGCATCTTTTATCGCTTGTTTGCTATATCTGCATAATATAATATGTATATATATATATATATATATATATATATATATATATATATATATATATATATATATATATATATAATATGTCGTGCCGAATATGTAAAACTGGTCAATTAGCAAGAACTCATTTAAAATTAAGTCCTTTCCGAAATTTTCTCTTATACGTTTAAAGATACATTTTTTTCATTAATGTTAATGTAAAAATTTTGAATTTTGCACCAAAAGAATCTTAGAAAACTTACCTAACCTTATTATAACAAGAACAATTTATTTTAGCCTAACCCAACTAAATATATTTTAGATTTGTTTACAATAATTTAATACTAAACAAACACAGTGAAATATATTTTTTTCGTTAGGTTCAGAATGATTTTGGAGAAATTATTGCATACACAAATTTTCACTTGTCCTATATGGCAAGATGAGCGTTGCTATTTAAGCCAAGATCGCAAGTTCTGCCTATTCGGCACGACATATATATATATATATATTATTGTAACCACGAACAAGTGATATTAAACAATATCAACACTGCGACTAGCCGAGGATTCGAACCCATGTAGTTTTGGCCCACCTCATGGTGAACGTAAATCACACATGGCGCTATAACCCACGGGATCACGCAATCCTACAAGAATGACGCACCCAGCAGAGCTAGGTGTTTTACCATCATCCAAGGACATACGGTGGTGTGATTGCCTTTGAGCTCATTTCATTTTACTCACTGTTTGGTGTACTAGCCTCACGAGCAGCGTATGTATATTATTGTAACCACTAACGAGTGGTCTTAATGATAACACTGCGACTAGCCAAGGAATCGAACCCATGTCATTTTGGCCCACCTCATGGTGAGCTAAAATCACAGATGATGCTCTAACCCATGGGACCACGCACCTAGCTCTGCTGGGTGCGTCATTCCTATAGGACTGCGTGGTCCCGTGGGTTATACCGCCATGTGTGATTTTCGCTCACCATGAGGGGGGCCAAAATTATATAACATTAATATAAATGAACAAAATATATCTTAAAACGTATAAGAGAATATTTTAGGAAGGACTTAATTTTAAATGAGTTCTTGATAACTGACCAATTTTACCTATTCAGTACGACATGCTCTCTCTCTCTCTCTCTCTCTCTCTCTATATATATATATATATATATATATAAATATATATATATATATATATATATATATATATATATATATATATATATATATATATTTCAGCTTTTAAAAACTGTTTCCCCTTCCCATGATTTTGTGCTCCTCGTCACTACACTGTTTCTCCCCTCACATGCTACATACCTAACGTGCCTTCTCTCTTGCTCTCCCCGGCACGCGAGGATGCTCACTCCTGACACTGCTCTCATATAGCACACCTGTAGTGCTACACCTGTGAGGCGTGTACATAACGGGGTACACCTGTGCTGGTACACCTGTGAGGTGTGTACATAACGGAGTACAACTGTAGTTGTACATGTATATAGCTAGATGTACGTTGGCCGCTGCACGATTTGAGAAATGTATCCCTGTATCTCGTAAGCCCAGCTTCCTCTACCTCAGTGCACACAAAAGGAATAGTGGAGAGTGGTGATAAAAATCTAACACGGCCAAATATAAACAATATACACGTGTGTGTATCTTTATTCATATGTATCTATGAGTCCATGTATGAGGGTAAGTATGTATGAAAACTTGTAAATATTTTATGTATGTGTGGATGTACATGTGATTTTTTTGTATATATACATGTTCACACGTATACGTATGCATATATGTATGTATATGTGCGTGTGCATATGCAACATGTTTGTATGTGTACATATGAACAATGTGTGGGTTTATATATACGTGTACATGCATGCAGGCTCTTAATTATGCACGTGTTTTTGTACACTTGCATAAATATATATGTTTGTGTATATGTAAATGTGTGAGCACGCATACATGTGTGTGTACAAAGATATATGTATGCATGTATATACATATATGTATTTATGTACCTATGCATGTGTGCATACACATGCATAGATGTGTCCGTCAGCACTGCCAATACTATGACCACCATTATTAACTTTCTGAACTAATTTATTAACTTTCTTCAGTAAAGCTTTTGAGGCTGTTGACCACGATAAAGAATTTGATATTATTTACTTAGATTTTAGTAAGGCTTTTGATAGAGTTCCGCACCATAGACTGTTAAAGAAAGTGGCAGCTCATGGCATTGGGGGAAAAGTGCTCTCGTGGATCGAGTCATGGCTCACTGACAGGAAGCAGAGAGTGTCCATAAATGGGGTTAAATCCGAGTGGGGATCTGTAACAAGTGG